ATCAAGGGGGAAAAAACGCGAAGAGACGCGACAGGTAAGCTAGAATTTTATTTCACTTTGTTTACATTTACAAAATTAGTACAATAGTCGCTAACCCGCGCAACAGATTATAGCTAACCGCAAGCAGCCGGTTTTGCTTAGGCCTAAAACAGTATTTTTAAGCTTTTTTAAACTAGCGGACAGGTCTAAATCGCTATTATTTTAAGCAGTTTTAAGCCTGCGCTCAGTTTAAAAATACGGTAAATGCGCCCAAAATTATGAAATTTCGTGTCGGTTTTCCGTAATTTAGACCTAACACTCGTAAAATTATTCTAAGTCTCCAAGAAATCGTTCTGTTTTTGCGTATTTTAGATAGAAAATTCGAAAAAAAGTCTAAAAGTATGTGACACTTAGAAAAAAATGGTAAAATTTCGAGTTATTCAAATCAGATAAGTCTCAAAGGAGCGCTATTGTTTTCGCTATTTGGTTAAACAAAGAACTGTATGCATAATAAATGTATGGGGTTATACGGAAATGTTGCCATAAAAGAATCAATTTTGAGGCACGCGTAATCGTATAAAAATTTCTTTGCTTTTTTATTCCCCTTCAAACCCAAGTCAAGCGTATCTCCGTAAAACCAAAACCCAAACGAATTACTTATCAATTAGACTACTCAGCCAATTTCACAAAACCAAAATTGAACGCAATCGCCTGAATAGTTTCTATACTTGAGTTGCCTTTTGCCTATATGTGTCAGAACCCCCCTCAGAACGAGTCTTCGCGCGGAACCATTCATATGAAAATGCGTTTCATCTCAGTGCACGTTCATTTTCATGCAAATAAAACTCGTTTTCATAAGAGGACCCGTTTTAAATAAGGGACGTCGGACCATTAGATAAGTGATGGGGGTGGGGAAAATAATAATAATAAAAAAAACTTATGCAAGGGAGGATGTCCAGAAAAAAAAAAGTCGTGCAAAGAAGACGTTAAGAGAAAAAAATCCCTGCAGAATGAATTGCACAGACGAAGTGAAGGGCACCTACAGCAGTTTTCTTGGTCCTGCTGGAATCCCCATTTCCCTTTCCATTTTAGCGGATAAGTCACACGATCGCGTGTATACAGTTTGCTCATGTACAGTGATTTGAATCATTAACAGATGGGTTATGTATTTGTAAAAAAACTGGAAATACGAAAAGTGCTCCCTGTGCTGTAGCGGCGGGGACGGGTGGCGGGGAGGAGAGGACGTAAAGGAGAAATATCCCACAATGCCTATCGAGCGTTCAAACTTAACCACGTGCTACAATACAAAGTTCGAACCAGACATTAGAGAAGGAATTTTGACCACGATTCTCAACTTCTTGGTAAGTAAATGAGCTTTCTCATCCTATTTTATGGAGACTGTATTAACACATGTAAGGCGCATCGTAATTTGGTGGCTTTTTCTTAATTCTAGATCACGGAAAAAGAATGGAGTGTAGAGATATCAAGAAGCTGCCACATTGTATGCATATTGTTTACACATAGGTAGGTTGTCTTGTCGATTTGACTCGAGCAAATTTAGTGTTAGTTCGGGCGTATCTTACAATGGAGCCTCACGTTATATTTCTTGTATCGCTCTGTGTTGTAATTTGCTGGACAAAGTTTCTAAGTTTGTTCGAAAAGCTTGCGAGGGTTTTGCACTCGGCAGTAAAATGGCGGCAAATTTAAACCCAGATTTATCAACTGAGACTTTTAAATTGTTTATTTTGTTGTTGTTTTTACTATTTGCCAACTCACATTTAAACTATCCTGTCAAAAAAACCTTTAAACTTTGTCTGAGTAATTTTGGTATTAAATTTGTCCGTGAATGTGTGTCCTCTGAGATTGGTCTGTACAAAATGCAGACTGCAGACCGGGTACAAAAATTATGCAGATTAGCAGAGATGCCAACCCCTAAAAATTTTTACCTTGTTGGCTTTAATTGTATGCATAAGCTATATGTGTATGTAATGCTGTGAAGGGTACAGTTTTCAGGCAGTAGGGTATAGAAATCAGATAGTTTTGGTCTAGAATTGGGTGTAATTTACCGGAAAAGTGGCCTGTATATTAATAATTTAGTTTAGAGTGGGATTTTTTACCTGGGGTTCTATAATAGATATTGAAACTCGGAGTAAGTAAGATATTGGTTTAGTTAGCGTACGTTGGAGTAAGATAGTGATAAAGTTTCTGCATGTAAAATACCATGGCAAGTCTTGGATAGGGTTGGGGTTTTTAGAGCCAGGGGCCCATTTCTCGAAAGCCCCGGAAACTTTTCGGGCCCATAAAGCCATTTTTAGTCCATCTGTATCTAAAAATGGAGAAGTGTATATGCCTGAAACTTCTTGTACAAAGGGAACTTCTCTTCATACTAAGAATATGTGAATAAAACAGCTTTGCAATCATAAGGTTCGAGATTCTGCTTTGGCTTTAAGGGCCTGAAAAGTTTCCGGGGCTTTCAAGAAATGGGCCCCTGGTCAAGAATAGGGGTGTCCCAGCAGCGCACCCCAACCCAGAGATTTACAGATGGACCATACTGTAAGTAGAAAATGCAGACTGTAGACTAGACACAAAACACAGACTGTGAATAAAGACTGTTGTTTTCCTCTAATACATGATAACATGCCGTAAGAAGTCATTGTATAACCTACCAAGTGTTTTCTGCAGTCATCCACATTGGAGAATATTCTTGGCCTGTTTTTTTCAAATATTTTGTTTTTAAGAAAGCATCAAGGCCATTTTTTGTTCCTTAACCCCTTCACTGCCTGTATGACGTACTGAGTACGTCATGCTTCATACACTTCACATGCCTTCTTGACGAACTGAGTACGTCAAGACTTTGAAGGCTACAGTCAAATCATTGGCACACAAAATGTAAAACCCTTCAGCCTATGGGATCTTTGCTACTTGGGAGATTGGTAACTATTAGTTACCACTCTCCCAGAAGAATGTTCTGGGTTTTGTGTCTTTTGTTTTGACTGTGACTTTCCGCCATCTTGTTTCTGTCATGTGTTGAGAAGATGTGAGGCAGTTTTGGGAATATTGGAAAATACGTCGGTGAGAGAGCAAAGGTACAATGCCCAGAAAGCTCTAGAAAGTATTTGGAATTATTCTGGTGAGGAAGAAGATTTCGATAGCGATGAAAACGATGATGAATCATATGAGTTGGCAAGTGAGGACAAAAGTGGCCAGTCTGAAGATGCATCTTCATCTAACGAAGACAATATTGCTCAGGATTCTGCAGAAAGCAGAGACGATGAAGCTTCCAATGAAGGAGATGGTAGGAATCCTGTGAACCGTGTAGGGCAAAGACTGGCAAGGCAACAACAAGCTCCCCTTGTTTGGTGAATCGCACATGGAACAACACCACGTGGTATCCCATTCATAGGAAATTCTGGTATACAAGTATAGATGGTAGGGTTTGAACCTCATGATGACTTTGCCCTTTTCATCAATGCTGACTTGCTCAATTGTTTTGTAGCGGAAACTTATCGCTATGCAGACAAATTTATATTTGTACCCCCAAAATTTTACTAATTTATGCTAATTTTTATATTCAGTTGACATCATCAGGTATCAAATTTCAAAAGTCAATAACTGCTCAAGCTCAAAATAAAAGTTTTTTATATCAGTTTCAGAAAATCTATACCTTTCTAAGGCTAGGTTCTTTTGTTAAAGAGTTAATTACATTTGATTCAAAGCAACTTTAAATACCTCAAAAAGAGGAAAATAGGCTTGGCACAGGGGGTAACATGGGGGCTAGCAGTGAAGGGGTTAATAGAGTTTCACTTTGTGTGTGAGATTTCAGTACAGTATTAAAATCATAACACTTGTAAAATGATGGAAATGCTATTTAAGAACAAGTGAATATGAATATTGTGGCAAATTAAAGGAATAAAGAATGTCAAAGTTTCAGCCTTGAACATTAAAATTTTATCAAGACAAATGAACAGTTTCTCTCTAGGTCTTATTCTCTTTTTCCTCTCCTAATTTCTTGACCCCATGAAGAGTCTGCTTGCAGGCTATAAGTTTGCATTTAGCTACGAAATCAACACTGATTGATCATTGTGTCTTGAATATTGCATGTTATTTACATTTAATATTTACCTTATGCATGAAGTGAAAAGGCAATGACGGCTTCAAATTCTAATTTTTCGAACACCATTTGCATACGTGTCGCTTGAATCAAATTAGAATACATCATGGAATGCTCTCAAATCAATATATTGTTTTCTATTATTCTGAACAGTTTATTGCGAATGTTACTCCATGTTTTCTATGAGCCGTACAGTTCTAATTTGGCTTGCTATGTATGGCTTTGCTCGTTCTTAAAGATGAATGCTAGTTTCTTGAGATGCTGCTGTCTGATCTGGAAGCGTAAACAACATACATTTGAGACATTTGGTCAGATCAAGTAAGTTGCAGGGTAAACAATAAGTCCTTCCTCAAGCGTTTGAAACACTTGTTCAGGTTTAAATATTTCAAATCGAAGCAATGCAAAAATAACTTAAGCTCAAAACAACGAAATCCAAGTTTATAATAACTAAACAAGAGGTTATTTCGACGGTTTTTTATTAAATATACACCTTCAAATTTTCCTTGAACACATGCAGTCCACCTAACATGCACTACAAATAAAAATGAATGTGTTGCGCTATGGTCTAAAGGCGGTGAAATACAAGAAACAAAAACACATATCTCGTATATCGCCTCTTAATGGTGGCGATGATATGTTCGATACAAAAACTCTCAACTTGGCTGATGTTTCAAGTTTTTCACCTTGCGTGATCAACTTTAATTTGTTGTTGTGTATAGTAGAGAGTGGGTCTACTTTGAGCAACAAATTTTGGCTTTGCTGCTCGTTCATCAGTCACAACTTGTCATGCATAAAATTTGCTCACATTTCGCGACAAGTTGAGGGTTTGTGTATCTTGTGAAGCTGTCTCGGAGCTTACCGCATGAGGCCTTCCATGTTGTGAAAAAATCAACCTTAAATCCAGATAAAAAACAATGGGAGCCACCATTGGCTACAATGTAATTACCTGTAGCCAATAACAACTTGCGTTACAATTTGCGACCACCATGAAGAAAAAAAAAGAACAAAGCGACCCAATTTCTAATGCGGATTGCTTTGCATCTGCGTAATAACAAATAAAAGCCTTCTCTAAGGGAGGGAGGGTGGGAAATTTAAAGCTAAGTTGTTACAAACTGTGTACTCTCGTACAAGCTACCAGGATAATGCCCTCTGACAATGCATTGAGGTTTATATAGCAAGACAGTGTCTCAAAGTTCGACCAATAGGTACAGCTGTACTATGAACTAAATAGATGCAACGTGACGAGCTTGTTAGCAATGAATGGAGCTAAGAAATATATTGGCCAATTTAGGAGAAGCTAAGATATTTTGCTAGATTATAGCGGGAGATAGAAGCTAAATTACAGACACGAATAGTGTTTGTGCTAACTGTTAGAATAAGAGAACGTTCATTCATGAATTGAGCATTCAGTTTTGTACTATTGTTTATCCTATTGGATTGCATGACGACTGTAAACAGCCTAACCCTCAAGGGGTGTCATGTTCCATTAACTGCGTTTTACCAACCGGTAAAAGCAGTATTAAATATGTATTTGAGAAAAACCTGGTCGCAGTGCTGCTAAAAATTAAGTGGAATAGCCATTGGTAAGTGACAGGTCCAAGGGACATTCAAAAGGGAAGGGGGGAATTTTGGTCCTTACAGAAATTTGCAACTGTAAAGTAGGGTGAGGGGTTGCGTTATTAGAACTTGATCTAGCTTTGTATGTTGCAGAGCAATTAACAGAGTGACATAATTTCATCATAGACACTAGTAAGAATTATAGAGAGATAGATAGACACAACATCACCATAAGGGAGCAAAATGCACCTGATTTTTCATCTTTGCACCCTTACGCCCCTCAGACTGAACTTTGGCTTTCATATTTTGAACATCTTGACAGGCACATGCGCCTTTACCTATCCGTTAGATTCGGGTATATAATTGTTTATTTCTTCAATGGCGAGTCACACTGAGGAAAAGCAAGGTCCGAAATGTCTGCTATATAATTGAGTTAATTTTTTTTTATTTTGTATTCATTTGTTACTTTTTATAACTTTTGAACTGTTTACAGTGCCATGCAGCCACAGATCCTTTTGGATTACCAATGTTTATTGGATATATGTGAATGATATTCTTAGTATGCAAGAAACTTTTTGGCAGTGGTCAGGTGCATGATTTTTTGGGGGTGCAATTATCAGCTTGCAGGATTTTTTTTTCAAAATCACACCCCCTCCCGTTCAAAAGTCAAATGGTCGTCCCATGCACGACACACAAGTTTGCAACATGATGCGAGAGGAACTGGCTCTAAGAATACAAAAAGGTGGCTAGATAACACAGAGAAACACAGCAAGTCTTTTGGCCTATTTTGAGAGGATTTTTAATCTTCAAATGGTAAAAGCTTCAATTTACTGTAAATTTTTTTTTTTATGATCCAAGTTGATCCAAGTTGATCTGACCCAGACTGGCGATCTGAGTTGAACCAGCCCAACTTTTTTACCTGCTGTATCTGAGCTATATTATATAATAATAATAATAATAATAATAATAATAATANCCTACTAGACAACATTCAATCTCATTCGATTAAACAATACGGGCAAGACGATCTTTATTTATTTTAACGCGGTAAAAAACTCGTCAGCTAAAACTACAAATATTTTCAATTCCTAATATCTAATATAATAAAAATAATAAAATAAAAAAGCTGCTTTCCACGAATGCCGTGCCTATACACCTCATTCGAGTAGGCGTTTAAACTACCTCAGAGACTCTGCTTCCCTTAAGTCACAAGTAAGACGGTAAGTAAGGAAGGAAGGAAGGAAGGAAGGAAGGAAGGAAGGAAGGAAGGAAGTAACCTTTATTTAAACACAATAAGCAATTGAGCTTGCAGCTTGTGGGGTCGTTTGTAAATAAACAATAAAGAATAATTACAAAATACGAATTGAAAATTAACAATGTAAGATCTAGTCCAAAGAATGACGCCACTATAGCTAAAACCATTTTTATAATAGTTTGTGCGCATTTGCGCGCGGTTTCTCGCCTCTCGAGAAACCGCATATAACGAGCTTCAAAATCAGAAATTAATGATCAGTTCGTAAATTTGGGGCCTTAGGGCAACAACACTAGTAAAGATTTTACTGAGACTTACTAGTTGTTAAGGTCTTTGTGGATTGTCCATTGCATTTTGCCTCGGTTCTATTTCCATCAAAGTGAATCTGTAAAAGATTACCAGGACAGTCGTCGCTTTTTTTTCTTAAAAGTGACTGGAGGCTCCGGGGAGCTGTTGTTTCCACAGGGACCAGTGAGCACACAACAGCAGCCTACATAGGGATGAAGAAATGATACAGTTAGATCCGAACTCCCTTATTTCGAATTCCCGCTATTTCGAACTATTTTTCGTTTCCCCGAGAGTTCGAAATAGCGGGAATAAACTGTATATTCAATTATAATAATAACAATAATAATAATAATAATAATAATAATAATAATAATAATAGACTTGTATAGCGCTAGAACTAGACAAACATACTCAAAAGCGCTTTACATTAAGTTAAAATAAATGAATAAATGGAAATCACTAACATAGTCATTGAGTAATGAGTAAATCGGGAGACTGCGCCGTTGTAAAAATTTCACAAGAAATAAAGATCTTTGATGTCCTCAT